ATGTATGATATATAGTATCTAGTATAGGTATACTTTAGCCAGCCGGATAATAAACATATACTATATTTGTTTGTAATATTATTTATTAATTAAGTTCATTAAATTTCGTCTTTTTAATATTAGATTGATATATATATAATATCATGATCCGGATTGAATTACTAGTTGGATTTATGTCATAATCCAGATTGGTATTTTTTAATCAAGATAAATAGATTATTAATAACGTTTGTTTCTATCTTGATTTGATGTCCAGAACTAGTTGTGCTACACATCAATCCAAAAACCTTAGAAGAGTAAGCTGAGATTGAAACTGAAGATAAAAAAAACGTTTGAAAAACCCTGAGAAATAGAAGAAGAAAGTGAAAAAACTAGCAAAAAACAGTAGTGAAGAATAGATAAGTGCATAAGGGTTAAATGTCAAAGCAAAGACATCAAAACCTCCTTGTGAAAATTGTCGTTCTAAGTGCGGTTCTATTTTAAATTTAGAAATAAAAAATAAAATTAAAGCAAAGTTTTGGAAAATGGATGACAAAGTAAGCAACGCGAGTTTATTGTGACATATGTATGTCCAGTTTTACCTAAATCAATTTTAGGAAGTATTGATTTTGGTTTTTGTGTAGCTCCAAAACGAAGAACCATGAAATTTCAACTGATTGTTTATATTAGCATTTTCTATACACCATCCCATTTTCAAAATAATTTCGACTTATTCTGAGCTATTTACGAACATTGTCAGTTTCCAATAATTTTAGTTTTTTATTCTATAAATATCAATAAAATGTTATTTGTCGGGTAGAAAAGCTTGAAAATTTAATAGAAGGCTCCTCTAATTTATTGTTTCATAGATAAATGAAAATATTAAAATCCGTATTCACATTTTTTTTTTTTTATATACATTTAAGTTCGAATTGACAAAATTTATCAAACTTAAAATTTAATAATTATTTTGTAGTTAAAAATGTATAAAATGTCTAATGGTTGAAAATTTAAAACAAGGTTCCAATAGTGTAAATATAAATTATTTTATTCACAATAATATCATCAAATATACTTAGTAATATCATAGGCTGACTGGCAGTTTTTCGCTCAGAATCATTTTTCTTATATAATGATATTATATCATTTAATTCAAATTTAACACCATTCATTGCAGTGACCCACTTGTCCACTTATCTACTGTACAGCAGAGCGACACCCACTTATCCACCTATTTTAATAATCTTTTAATAAAATAAGTAATTTATTTTAGTTGTGAACTTTGTTAAAATTTAGATAACAAAGAGACTGAAGACTGAAGAGCCGTTGTTTATTTTATACTTTTTAATATTAAATATTAACATTAACAAAAAAAATGCAACAAAGAAGAGTGACTGAAGAGTAGTTGTTTTTTTTATATTATGGTATACTAAATTATTATAATTACCACTAAGGAGATTTGAAATGTTCATTTTATAAATTAAATATATTATCATATTATTTTATTTCGGAGTTTAAGAGTTTTTTGGTTCAATACGTGACCGTACTTAATGACAATAACTAATGATAGAAATCATAATCAAAATTGTAAGTATGTATCTACCCTTAATTTTTTTTTTGTTAGATAGAAAAATTGTCATGTTATTCTAAACTTTCATATTCATTTCTTGAACATTTCATTTTTTTTTTTTTTTTTTTTGAGTTATGGCCTTATTGTACTAACAGTGCGAAATGACGGAATAGAATTTCAAGTAAATCAGCAATTAATTAATTACCTACTTAACAAATGAATTCTATTTTGACAAGTTTTTCTTCTGAAATAGAAAAATTATTAGATGCTTTGCTGCTAGCATATCAAAATACACTACACCTACTAGTTCTTAATAGTATTCATTTGAAAACTACTTAGATAAATATACATTGAGAGTTACCCCTAAATCAAGTTTTACCAGTAAATATCGACACTCATTTATCTCTGGAAAGTTTTATGAAACTGACGAAAGTGCCGACTACATTTTCAAATAATATTCATTACCTATAAATGTTCCTATATGTACTCCAGAGATTTCAGATATGGCCTATGCAAATAGAGATAACAAATTTACAATTTATGTTTATCCAGCCCAATAATCCATATCTAGCAATTTCATCTGATAACCAACATTTTTTGGTAATAACCAAAAAAGTTAATTTGTTTATACAATGCTAGGGTCCTTATTTTTTTTCTAACAGAAAACTAAATTATAGACTACAGTGTTTATAATTTATATAGTATTTGCATATGACTTAGATTCAAATGATATACATTTTAACATTAAACAATTCACGGTAAATGTTTTTTTGACATGAAAACGAATAGACCGAAATAGTGAAATATAATTAAATTAAAAACAAAATAAATTAACTTAACTTATATTTTAAAATGAAAAATTAATTCGTTAATTTCATGTTAATTAAAAATGAAATTAAGTAAGTTAACGGTTAAGTTAATAAAAAGTCAATAGTTACTAGTTAAGTTAAAAAGTTTAAATTAAATTAACTTTTTAACTCATAAGTACCCAGCCTTGATATTATAACTAACTTGAGGGTAACTGACAGGGGTAAGTGAAGACAGCCGTGGATGTCGGTATTCAGAAACGGAAGAGTCAACGACAATCCACGCCACTAACCAGAAGTTTTAAAGTTATAATATATAAAAGATGATATTAATATATACGCATGACCATTGCCTTGGTGGCTTGGTATATGTATCCCTAACAAATGCATGATTTACAGTCCAGCAAGAAAATACAGTCGGTGGAGGTTGGAGTACCGTTATTCTTTGCTACTGGATGAACATGATATCAGAAAATACAACACTACCACTGACACAGCTACCGTTGCTTGACATCCCAAATCTGGGGTCCATATTTTAATGGAAAAGGGGTATATGCAACGATTGTCATCATCGGCATGTACATTACTTCCTACGTTGAGCACGGCTAATATGCTGAGTGTTAGTAATGACTAATGATAAATGTAGTCGCTCAATATATATTATGCTGACTAGAGTTTAGTAGGCATCGTGTTAATAGTTGAGTCAATAATTGAAAGTAATATAGAGGCCTAGGCCTAGTTCTAACCCCCCCCCCACAGGTTTAAATCTGTTTCTGGGGAACTGCTGTGATGTAAACTTTTGACGTAATTTCAATACGTAATAGTGCCATAACACGTTGTACCTATTAAATAAGTACTCTATTCAATATTTTTTGATAAATTTATCACCAACAAAATTTCCCAACGAACGAGTTTAGTTATAAAACGTTAAATGTCGACAAAAGACTTTTGAGTAAAAATAAAAAAGAGCACTATGGGAAATATATATAGGTAATATAATATGGTGTTGTAATAAAAATGTTATGTTGAAAAATGTAATGCTACCTTAAAAATATTAATTTGTATATTACCTGTCCATCTACGTTGAAAATATGCTCAGTTAGAGAAAATCCAGCATATGAAAATATGGCTATAAACGGTAACATAATAAGCAACACACATCCATCATAGAAGAATTCTCTTACTTCATCTTTGGTTTCACTACTAAAAAACCATGCTTTAATTGATCCCAGTAATGAATATCTATAATTTAATATATGTATATCAAATATCTAATAATTGTTCATCATAATCGATTCTTAGGTATTAATCGTATACTAAATTATCATTACCTTGCGACCCGCCTGGTTTTATATTCAAATGTACAAATTTCACAAACACTAGAACTGGCTTGTAGGAGCCATTTTTCCAAACATGTTCTATGCACCTTGGACATACTTCCACGACAAAAGCAAGGAGAAATGCATTTATTTGTTTCGTCAAAATCGGACTGTAAACATATTCTACAAACACTGGATACCGCTAAATACGTACGAAAAGGTAGCACTGAAATAAAATAATTACTTCATATTCAGGGCTAAATTTACTTGGAATCTCAGAATCGTTGAATTCAGATGATGTAGATACCGACATATCTGGTGTTATATCCAGAGCTGCGCTAGGTAGTTCATCTTGATTTATTATATCGAGAGTATCTGCAAATTTCTGAAGTATATTAATATATATAATTTCACTTACAAATCAAAACATGATTAATACCTAGCATTAAATTATGTACTATGGCTTCTGTCATTTTTCTGTTCAAATTTTTAATAATATTTTTCTCAAATTTTATCTATGATTAATTTAATCACGGTTTATTTATTTACTTGAAATTAAAACCGATTTTTGTCATAGAAACTCTATAAATATTATATTTTATTTTTAACTATGAACAGGTGTTTAAAATATGGGACGGAAAAATGAACGACATGTAGAATTAATATTATTTTTTTTTTTTTTTTTAATGAACCTAATAACGTCAAGGAATTTTTACTATATTTATTAAAATCTTATTATCATAATACCTCCCAAACAAACGAATATTTGGCAATCACAATGGGACCGCACCTCGGATAACAAATTAAAAAATATAAAAAAAACCATACAGAAATGGCAATCCCCCATAAACACAACCCGTAAAGCAGATATCGTCACAACTAGAGCCAGAATTGGCCACACACATCTCACCCATTCTTTCCTTTTCAACCATGATGAACATCCAACCTGCCATCAATGTGACCTACCACTGACAATTGAACATCTCACACTCAGCTGCACCAAGTACAACCATGAACGAAGCATCTTAAACTTCCCCTCCAACATCGAAGAAGCACTCGGTGAAATCAACACCGATGCCATCTTCAACTTTTTTAATGCCATCAAAGTATCCAACCTATTATAAAACTACTGTTTTACCTATTTATTTAACACTACTATTTTATTTTATTTATCTACTCATTTTGTAATTTGTATGTTACTATGTGCATAAGACTTTATCAATATTTCTAATCTTAATCTACCATTGTAAACCTTTTCAGGCTAATGACCACCGATGTCGAAGCCTTATTCTTAATAAGAAAAAAAAAACTTATATTATTCCCGGTTTATTATTAATATGTATTACTACGAGCCAACGATTATTATTATTCACGTAAGCAACTACAGTGTTATGTAACATTTTAATCCCGACCCCCTCACACCTCAGTGTTAATCGACTCGAGTCGAGGCTCCAGTCATCGACGCCGTCTTTGCTACCATCGTCGAAACCAGTGTGGCACACGGTGTAACACTGTAACCTGTCACCCAATTACTTATTATATAAAAGTTCACACTAACCATCCCACTACAATAACTATGCGACACCGTCAACGACTGACGGTGAATATAAGGTAAGTCAATAAAATGTATTATTTACCTTAAATTGCTTGAAATTATAAAATAGTAAAAGTTATACCTTTAGTATTAAAGTCTCTCGCTGACCTTATATAACTAAATATATTTGGTAGTAATAATAGCATAATAATTAACAGGTTTAATGACTCAATACAAATAAGTATTTAGGTGCTTAATTTTATAACATACATATGTTTGCATATACTTTTATAAGCTTCTGAAAACAAATTATTATCACTTTTTAGAATAAGTAAATTTGCATTTAAATTTGATGTTGGTTGCCATCTTGTGGATTATGCGGAGGAAAATGTTGTTGCTTTTGTTGATAAGGTGATATGTTTTCAGAAGAAGGTAGTTGAGGATATTAATTTGGAATTGGTTCGGGATATATGTTGTGGTGTAGTGTATCTATAGAACTGTGTGAGGGAGCCGCTTGTTGATGTTGGTATGATATTGGAGAAGACGAATGGAACGAATTAAAATACCCGGAATGAAAATATGGAGCATTATTCTGAGGATAAAATACTGCAGTGTGATAGGAATAGTTATTATTTTGTGGATGAGATTCATTTTGAAAAAATTTAAGTGCGTACATTTTAAATTCTAATTTTTTACCACCACTTAATTGTTTTACTAGAGGAAGTAAAGATTTCAAAAAAAGTTCATCCACATCAGTTGATTGTTGTTTTTCCAAGTGATTTAATAGTTTGCTCTGAAAAATGGTCATTAGTAGGTGGGGTGTTCTGTGTGCATATGGACATATCTAGTTGCTGTGATGGGTGTTCTTGGTCTAATAATGTATGATCTTCAACCACTTCATCTGTATCCGAAACCTGTGCTTCTGATACGTTTTGTGTGTCGTTTATAAAATTTCCCGAGGCACTATTCAAATAAATCAAAATATGTAAATATTTAATTAGGAGATTATTGAAATTAAATAGTACCTATATTACAAAAAAGCTTTATAATTTGATAATAACTACATCAATAATTGAAGCAAAAAATAAAATAAATATTTTAATACTTTAAACCAGAACAAAGTTCAGATAGAATTTTTCATATTTCTTCACACATATAGTTTGAAATACATATTATACCCAACCAAGCCTGGGCAAGTTAATGATAATTTTTAACTGATTAAGTGAAGTTGATAGAACACATTTTATTTTTTTAACTCAGTTAAGTCAAAATTATATGAAAACTGACAATTGACTTATTATTTATTAACTTCAATTAATTTTTTACATTATTTTTTATTATATAAAGAGCCAGTTATATGGTTTAAAATAATAAAAACTAAATTTGGATTGGATTAAAAGTAACTCGTTATCTATTAAGTTTACATCAATAAAAATCAGAAGTTAAAAATTAAGTTAATGAAAATTAAATTTTAAAATGGTAAAATCAACTTAACTTTTAATTTAAATTTAACTTTTTAACTTGTTTATGCCCAGGCTTGTAATCTACCTGTATACATATATAAATTACATTTGTATATAGTTTACCAGAAAGAGCTGACAAATTATGAATGTTTTTAATTTTATTTTTTTTTTCTAATAACTAAATAGTCACTAACATTAAACGTATATACAATTTAAGATTAATGTATTGATTTTACAATGCTGTATTATATTAATATTTAAAAAAAATTTTGTGTCTGTAATCACAAAACAAAATGATTCAATTTCCACGTACATTTCCCCACCCCACCCTTTTCAATTTTTCAACTTTATCCAACGCCAATATTTAGTGCTCAATTCCTGCCAATTTCTGCCGCCACTCCCGGAATTCCTGCTCAAAAACACGCCCCTCAAAAATTAAAAAACCACGGGTTGGGCGGGGGAAACGTTTCTCCAGCCCCACCCCAAGTCGGAAATTGACTTTTTTAACTTTTTCCAACGCCAATATTTAGTGCTCAATTCCTGCCAATTTCTGCCGCCACTCCCGGAATTCCTGCTCAAAAACACGCCCCTCAAAAATTAAAAAACCACGGGTGGGGCGGGGGAAACGCAGCACTAAATATTGGCGTTGGAAAAAGTTGAAAAATTGAAAAGGGTGGGGGTGGGGAAATGTACGTTCAATTTCCTAAAGCAGCAGATTTTCTGGTAGGAAATTTAATCTACATGGTACTTTAGGAGGGGGGTCAATCAGTGGAGTATTTAGGATTTTGTTGCCCCTGGTACACATTTTTTCAATGACCTTTTCCTAGTACCAGTTTTTTATTGCAGCAATATTTCTTACCCATAAAAAAAACTTACAATACATGTGATTTGCTAATAGTATCATGCAGTATAAAAATCTATCGAGTTTCCTAGAATATTGAATATCTTAGATTTTCTCAGTAGTACCCATGATAACAAAATAATCGAAGCAAATTGTAAAATTTATTAATTTATTTTCATATCTATTTACAAAATGTCAACAAGTTAACAAACATCATTAAATTAATATCTTTCGTCGCGCTTTTGATCTTTCAAAATCTTCAATTATTTCATCATAGTTTAATGAAGTTGTCAACTGAGATTCAATATTCAAAATCGCCAAAGAGTTTAAAAGAGTATCATTCATCGAAGATCTAAGATATGATTTAAATCTTTTAAGAGTACTGAATGAACGCTCGGCCGAAGTGTTTGATGCAGGAACACACAAAAACATTCGCAATGCAATATTAACGTATGGGTAAATATCTAGTAAATTATCATCTTTCATGACTTGACACAAATATAGCACCGATTTTGTGGATACGCTTTCTGGTAAGCCTTTTAAGTAACCACGAAAATGAATAAATTCATTCATAAACGATGTATCCAGATCTTGAGGATATTGTTTTTGTAACTCTCCAGCTTTTTGTTTTACTTCTAACACTGACAACTCAGTAATGTTGAACAAAAATCCAAATGAAGTATTAATCTTTTCATAAGAGTTTATACGCTTTCTCAACTCTGTAAGTAAAGAGTTTATTATGATAAAAAAAAGTATTAATTTCAAAAGATTTTTTACTAACAAATGTTGTATAGCCTTCAGATGATTCCTCAAAAGGCATTTTCCTTTTTTTTATGCGGGAAACTTTATATCTATAATTCCAGTTTTTTCTATGCAAAGTTTTTCATAATGTGAAAAGCTGTATCTCAAATCCATTATATAATTTATCAATGATTTATATAGGGTTATGACAATAGTCAAATCAATATGAACATTCTGCAATTTCTTACTTACAATATTGAACCTCTCTAAAATATCATTCCATACTGAAACCAGAATATCCACTTCTAAACTTTTCATATTGTTCAATAGTCCATTACACTCACATTTAGTTTTGGAATTTTCAGTTGGATTGTTAACGAAAATATTGAACGCCTTCTAAATGTCATTCCAATTGCGTGATAAACTTAAACATGCCTCATATCTAGCCGCCCATCGGGTATCAGATAACCTTTTAACAGTTACATTATCAGGTTTAGATAAGCATTGATCCAACACGTCCCAACGATTGGTGGATGCAGAAAAAAAGAATAAAAATGCTGAAGAAAATTAAAAAATTCATTAGCATTTATACAGCAATTAGCAGCACATTCACCAACTAGGTTCAATGAATGTGCTGCACATGGAACGTAAACAGCATGGGGCATGCTTCTTTGATTCTTGCTTGGAGTCCAGAATATATTCCTGACATGTTGGAATCGTTATCGTAAGACTGTCCACGGCAGTTATTAATATCTATTTCATTTTCTCCTATGGCCATAAAACCAGCATCTGCTAAATCTTTAGACTTGTGTCCTGGGTTTGCCAAAAATTGCAAAAATCGTTCAACTGGTTCACCATTATTTGTTATTTATCTAAAAGTAAATGCTAGTTGGTCTGTATGAGAAATATCTACTGTTGAATCAACAATGATTGAGAAATACTTTGCATTTTTTATCTCATTAACAATTGTTTTCTTTACTTTTTCACCCATAATTTCTATAAACTGTTCAAATACTGTAAAAGATAAGTATGATGTTTCTTCCTTTTCCAAATGTTGGTATATGATTTTGAAGGAAGGGATCAAACTCAGCAATGAGTTCTAAGCTCATAACAAAGTTACCACTATGAGTTGACCCGAATTTATTCTCATGGCCTCTTATTGCAAGTCCTCGAGAACTTGGTGACTTCACAACAGCTGCAACTCGGGTTAAAACTTCTTTCCAGTAATTTGTTTCTGTTTGGACTTGTAAAATGAGTTGATGGTCAATTCACCCTACTTCACTTCCTCTCTTTTTCATCTTAAGAACACAAGTCTTGTGATTTATTGAATTTTCATGACCATTTAATTTTTGATCGCCTTTTTTCCAATCACAAAATCCAAATTTAGAAAATATATTGGAAGTATTCGGACCACCAAATAGTCGACATGGTGCACAGTATATGCAACCCTTACTTTAAGAGTAAACAATAAACTTACGATTTACAGATTTTCCATTAACAAGCTTTGTTTTGATTAAATTCGGATTAAAGTACCTGAAGTATGATTGCTGTTTACCACGAATATTTCTAATATATAGTTTCTTTGAAGAAGAAAAGTCAGTACTTTTAAAGTTTTGATCAAAACCATTAAGTGCAAAATAATCTATGGTACTTTCATTTATATTTCACAATGCTGGATCTTTACTAAATAAAATAAAATAAACAAAATAATAATATCAGAAACATTTAAATATAAATATATTGGTACAACTATTTTGGATAAACTTACTTGGGAATAGCAGTTTTTTCATTTATTCTGAAGTTAGGGGTCACAGATTGGGGCTCAGTCTTCTCAGAATATGTACTATCATCAATAGTGGATTTGTGCAAAGAACAAATAGAGTCATAACTATGAAAATATTATAGATATTGAATGTTATGACACTACATTATATACCATATAACTATTAGGTACATTGAGATATACCGGAAATAAACATCCGGTACATAGTAGGTTACCTTAAAGAACTTAAATTTGTTTCAAATTTATCTTAGAAATTTTTCTCAACTTCATTAACAGAAACATTGGTTCTAGACTGTTCAGCAATTGCACTACAGTTTACAAGTACGGCATCATTATTTTCATCAACAATGGATCTTTGACCAATGCCTAGTTATAAATAAATCAAAATTAACCTAGATTTGTACCTAGCATGAAATGAAAATGAAAAATAATTTATATAGGTATAATAAATATTAATACTTGATGTGTTTTCTGTGCTGTTAACCGTATTTTTAACATTAAAATAAGCATTAGGTTTGTCAACTTTTGACAAAACATTTGCAGTTTTAATTCCTTTAATTTTTGCCTTTTTATGATTCTCTCCACCACTAAGCTGCTTTTTGCAATTTTTAACTATCTAAATACCATCAACCATTCAGCAAAATAAAAAAAAATAACTAATAAGCATTAAGCGTGATGTACACATGACACATTACAAAGTTAAAGCAGTGTTTGATACTTTGCATAATTTACTGTTTTCAACAAATACAATTTATAATGCTTAGGTACTATATATGTTTAAGGTTGTGGATTTGGAATTGTTTATTGTGGTAATAACAAAAGATTATTTTTATGTCACACTGACGATTTTTACATTTTATTAAAAACAACAAAAGTATACACTGTTTTTATGATTTTAATTTCGAAGGGTACGGAGTGAAAGTGCGCACGACGGGGTGTTGGAACTTACCGAACGGTATGACAGAATACTCCGACTATTGCCCCATAAACTGCGACAGATATATGGTCAGTGCAATGCCGGAATACTCTGACTATTGCACTATTGACTGATATAAATACCGTCCGATAAGTTCGAGTGTGGAAGGCTTTTACCTGAAATGCGCAAGTCTGCCCGGGTGGGTCTTGCTACAGATCAGGTAAAAGACTGGTACTAGGTTGTCGGTCTTGCGGCCTTTTATATGCGGTCTATCGGCGATTATTTTAGGCGGTCTCGTGTTCTGTGACAGACTGGCAAATCGCCGGTACCGTGTTCTGTGACAGAAACCCGAAACCCCAAAAGTGCAATCGCCGATAGACGCATAAATAATAATTAATTTATATAATTAAGAAAGGACGTATTAATTATAATAACATAAGCTACGATAAGCACGATAAGCTTTGAGACGGAAGGGCAGTGGTGTGCTTAATTATCTTCGCAACTGTGTGTGTGAACAATAGATATTTTGTATAATAATATAAAATAATTGACTGATTATCATAGCTCAAGCTTTCAGCTTCGCATAATTCAGATTTGACGCTGCACAACACCATGGAACTTCATTAGGTAATTAAAAATATGTACTTACTCTGATAGTCAGATGAGTTAGATGATTAGAAAATATCAATTTCATCGTTGTCAGAGCAATAGACTAAAATGTTTTAACTTATACTTACACTATTTCACACACTGTAAAGATGTTATCACTTATCATACTATCACTATCACATTGTCACAGCAGTAATTAACACGTTACTAACATCATGGCCCTCGATGTCATAAGAGTGGTAGTACTGTGTTTTTGAACTGCAGACGAAAAACAATAAACTAATACACCCGTGTTAATTATGTAATGTGGAGATTAATTTCACAAAATATCTGTGTTGTAGTGTTGATACTAATATCACGTTTTGACGTTTTGTTGAAATTCACTTGCCTATAAAAATAAATAACTAACAATTTTATTATTTTTTTTTTTAACCTGTTTAAAAAAAAACTCCCATTTAAATTTGCTGCGCCAAAAAAGTGCTGCCCGTGGCAACTGCCCCCCTTGAACCCCCTAAATATGCCACTGGGGTCAATAGTAAAAAAATACCAGTATTTTACAAAAGCGTGAGAAAATCAACACAATAATTAATGAAAAATTGAGGTATTACGACGATAGTTTTTAGAACATTTTATGATTTATTAACTACAAATAATTTAAATTTTTTTGACATTTTGATTAAAAAAAATCGTGAATTTTTATATTTAAAATGTTTCATATTTTATTAAAACAACTTATCAGGAACGTTGCAATAAAATTCCGACCTTCCTTACTCATCGAATACAATTTTATTTAAATTTATATAGAATAAAAAACTAAAATAATTGAAAGTTTTTAATATTCAAAAATTAAGTTGGTGCATTGGATAGTTCAAAACTTAAAATTCCCAGTAATTTTCATAAGCACCAGGAAAAACAAATGAATAATTAGGGAAAAAACGTAAATTTTTACACAAAAACGATTTTTAACAAAATCGAATTTGGTTTTTGGTGTAACTCTAAAACAAAAGATTGTAGATCCATGAAATTTTGACTGAATGTTTATATAAGCATTTTCTACACAACATAACATTATTTTCAAAATACTTTGACTTATTTTGAGCTGTTTACGGTTATTTTCAGTTTCCTATTTTTTTAATTTTTTTTTTTCTATAAATATCAATAAAATTGTATTTTTTGGATGAAAAATCTTGAACATTTAATAGAAGGCTCCTAATATATTGTTTCAAAGGCAGATTAAAAATATAAAAAATTCGTAGCCACAATTTTTTTTTCTAAGCATTTTAAATTCAAATTTTTACAAAATACGTAAAAATAACGATAATTTTCAAATTATATTGAGTTAGAAATTTATAAAAAATTTTCTTTTGGAATCTAAGATTTTTAAATGCAATACAAGATATATCATAAGTTTGTCTACTTTTATCAAAATAAAAAAATTAAAACGCATAGTTGTAAAATTAATACATTCATCAGAATCTAAAATTTAAATCCGATATACATTTTTTTTTTAAACAATTCTAAATAGCAAATTGATAAATCTGGTTTTACATATTATATTAAATTTACCTTCTTCTATCTAAATTTGGTTTCAAAAACGATAAAAAATCAGTAAAGTGGCATTTTCTCTTTATTACTGTAGCAACAGAACCACTTTTAATATTTTTCTCTTGGTATACATTTCATATAGTTGTCGCGTACATGTCTCCATTTTTTGTCCTTTATATCTTTTGCTAAAATAAAAAATTTATTTAGTTACTAATACATTTTTAAATGTACTGTTAGATATCTGTCAATTGGAACTTGTTTTAAAGCCATGCAATTTGATTTTAATATTGTAAAGAGCACAGTAGGGGGGGGGGCGTAAAATATCGGAACGTATTCGCAAGGACCGTATAAATACGGAACAAAAACGTTTAGTCCCGGACCGTATTCTCGAGGAAAAAAATACGTACACCGTATAGTCACGACTCACGGATCGTAGAAATGCGGAATAAAATATTGTTTGAACCG